TGAATACTCATAAGGTTAACATGGGGAACTGCAGAGCCACTGGGGCGGAGCCCGAAAGGATTTTCGAGATAAGAATAAATGGTTATGTTAAGTTCGACAACAAGATGTTTACAATGAGCGTTCAATTCTGGGTGTGTCATTATTCTAATAGCATTTTTCTGCAGAAGCAGTAGTGAGTAGAGCCTACTTTATATTCTTGAGCCACATAAAATGTTAGGCTTTTTTTTCACAATGTTGTAACTGTTACGTCCATGTCACTGGCCCGGCCATGACGGAATTAGTACATAAGAATTATGCTAATATTTAGTACCTATTTCGTACTATTTAGTACCAACAAACAAAAAATTAGTACCCCACTCGGTACCGGATAACTAATTAATTTAGGATTCCGGGCCAGTGACATGCTGGCCCGGCCATTTTCGAATTTGATCCTAATATGTATACCATCATTTAGTACCTATTTCGTACTATTTTGTACCCCCATTAAAATAATTTGTACCTCAAAGAAAACCAAGCTACGGGCCCGTTAACTGTACAGATCCATGGCCCCTCAGCCCAGCCATATCGGAACCTATGGTTATAAGCTATACTACTATTTAGTACTTATTTCGTACTATTTTGTACCTCCATTAATATAATTTGTACTTCTAAAAAAACTACTAAAAAAACTGAAAGACAAATAATTTTGAAAACTAGGGAATGTTGAAGCCATAATTTTAGTTTAGGGTTTCAGTTTTTTAGAAGATAAGTTTAAAATTGTAAAAAGTCTAGCAGCCGACGCTAACATTCTACATTCTATTCTAGAAATATTGATTTTACTTCAGTTTTAGTTGACTACTAAATTCCCGTACGTAGGACGGGCCAACAGCTCGTTAAGTTTTACAACATAAATTAATAATTAAGAAAAAAGAAAGAAAAAATTAACAAAGTTGTGAACTTAATGTTGAATGAAATAAAAAAATCACCACAGTACCCTCGCACCAAAATAGCCTAAACCTCGACACATTAATTACTTGGGTTGTATGAGTAGTACATATTGTTTAATATGAAGAACTAAATACCGGTAGTTGGAGATAACCACCAAATAACTGCATCACTTGTTAATTATTGAGTACTAAATAATAGCATACCTTATAACTAGAAACTGTGACATGGCCGGGCTGAGGGGTAATTAACCACTAACAATAACATGATTACACATACAATATGTAACATAAGTAGTTTGTTTATCTTTGAGGTATTTTTTTTTTACCTCGAAAGGTACAAAAAAGTACGAACAAGGTACTAAATAGTAGTATAGCTTATAACTACAGGTTCCGATATGGCCGGGCTGAGGGGTCATTGACCTGTACAGTTAACGGGCCCGTAGCTTGGTTATCTTTGAAGTACAAATTATATTAATGGAGGTACAAAATAGTACGAAATAAGTACTAAATAGTAGTATAGCTTATAACCATAGGTTCCGATATGGCCGGGCTGAGGGGTCATTGACCTGTACAGTTAACGGGCCCGTAGCTTGGTTTTCTTTGAGGTACAAATTATATTAATGGAGGTACAAAATAGTACGAAATAGGTACTAAATGATGGTATACATATTAGGATCAAATTCGAAAATGGCCGGGCCAGCATGTCACTGGCCCGGAATCCTAAATTAATTAGTTATCCGGTACCGAGTGGGGTACTAATTTTTTGTTTGTTGGTACTAAATAGTACGAAATAGGTACTAAATATTAGCATAATTCTTATGTACTAATTCCGTCATGGCCGGGCCAGTGACATGGACGTGTAACTGTTGCAATTTTACTCAATCTGTTCACCACCACCACCAAATTTCTTACTCATTTATTAATGTTTTCTATTGTACCGTATATCTTGTTGCATGTAAATCTTGTCTAATGTATTATTTTGTAAAATGGCGATTGCCGTAGAAATAAATAAGTTAAATAAAATAAATTAAACTGAAACTGATGACACTGTGAAACAAATCTTAATAGACATTATATGGTAAACATAAGCTGAAGGAACATAAAATCTTAAAAAGTTCGGTTCCTTTAGCTTAGGCTATGTGAGCGGAATTACAATCTAAATTAAAACTGCAATTATTTTTACACATTACGTTAATGTACTTTTAAAAAATAATAGGCTAACTTAAGTTATCAATAAGTATAGGGTTGTTTTGAAAGAAGCAAACAGGGATTTTAAATTGTCGATTAAGTTATTCAAAATTTGGAGTGTGATCAGAATTTTTTTTTTAATTTTGTTAAATATGATTACTCATAAGGTTAACATGGGAAACTCCAGAACCACTGGGGCGGAGCATGAAAAGACTTTTGAGATAAGAATGCGTCTATATGTTAATCGGGAATGTGAGCTATCATCACACCAAATTTCAGCCCAATCCAACCAGTATTTTTCACGTTTACTTGTCACAAACATACATACCTACTACATCCATACATCCAAACTTTCTCATTTATAATATTAGTAGGATTACGCACACAAATAATAGGCAAGTTACTGTAAGTTGTGATGCTTAAAAAATGATGCCTATCAGAAAGTTTAAGGCCTATAAAGATTACTCACAAGATTTCTCCTCCAGTGAGTCAGATTTGGCTGATGTTAAATCTTCATTTCTCAATTCAACCAAAAGCTGAATGAAGTCTTTTTTCTCAGAATGTATACCTTCTCTTCTATGGATTGCATCCTGTACGAAGTCTAAAAAAAACTTCTCAACATCTTTGTCCAGTATTTTTAAGTTGAGATAGTATGGTAGTCTTGGATGAAAGGCACGAGCAATGAGTCTATAAACGAATCTCAATGAGGGTTTAAAAACCTGCTGTCCCATCTTCCGAAATTGAGAATTTGGATCTCGTAGGGAATTAAATTGCAAACCAAAAGCACAAGAACCAATTACATCTGTTGAAAACTTAGCCATTATTTCTCGCATATCCTGCGTTGATTTTGAGAGAGAAACATTGTTTAAGTAGTCAGTCAAGGCATTGGCACACTCTTCTAGTAAGTAGCTCATGGACTTGAGTTTCCCGGAACTAAATGCAGGAGTCAATTTGCTTCTCAGACCTTTCCATTTCTGTCCTTTTAAATTTACTAAATGTGAAGACAACAAATCAAGTTTTTCATCATATACCATTCCCCTATCATAAAAATGTGAAAAATCTTTGATAAGAATTTGATGAATCAATTTAGGATCTCTGACCATTAAAAAGGGGGACATAAAGAAATATGTCCCTATAAACCTTTCTTCGGGAAATAGATTGTACATTTCTTGCTGATTAATAGCTGAACTTTTCTTCCTTAAGATAGTTGACAACGTGTTTCCAAAAAGTGGTACTGGCTTGACAAATTTTACATTTTTTTGACTCCAATAGTTGTACTTTTTAGTCATGAAATAGTAAACTGTTGCAACAAGTATCAATACTGGGATGAAAATATAGAAAGCAACTGAGTAAAACAGATTCATGATGAATTTTTAACTTACTGTAGATCGTTTCTTGACAATAACCCTCAAAAATATGTTGCAATAGTCATCAACTCAATCACAAAGGAACTACACTATTTAATAACAAAATTGTTTATTTGATAGACATGTTTTATCAATGGTGGGCCTCTATAGCGTTTTAGCAAGTCCTGTGTCACACTCCAACACAGCTAACACTATCATCAATGCCCTTGAAAACTTAGGCCAAACTAATCCAAATCTAAAGTTAGATAACAGGGATATCTAAACAAAACAAATCAACAAACACATAACTCATAACTTGAGGAGGTTATAATCTGCATTGTGTGATCGTTACGTGATGGTCAAAACAAAAACAAACAATAAAAATAAAGGATAATCGTGTATTCATGAAGCTTTTTCTAGGTTTCCATTCAGCCTCACTGTTTTGCGGAGAAAGAAGGTAACATCATATATAAGGAAGTATGTTTAATCAATGGTAATATACTGCTTCGTGCTTACTGTACACCTTCGACTATTATCCAATTTGATCTATTTGTTTAATCCCCTTGCACACGCACCTACGCATACTACCATTACTACTGTAAAATAAGTGCATGGCATGATACATATTTATTTTTTTTCCAACGGTTTACACTAATTATAAAAAAAGAGGACGACAATTTTGGGATTATCTTTTAATTTTTACCAAGCTCTGTAAATGTTGAACCATAGACTAACCAACACAAGTAGACTTCTCATCCCATTGTAAATTTTGAAGCACGTTTTTCGTGTCTAGTTCATGTACGTGACACAAAGGCGCTAGTGTCGATGAAACTTTGTTTCCGTTATTTTAGGGTTAATTTCTTGATTTGTGCTTTACTGTTTGGTTATATAACTAGGGGACAGGTTATTGTTTATGATTAGATCGTATTATTTGGTTAAATGAGGTTTTAAATGGCTGTAATAACGGGAAACAAATTGTAAACAAAACACGACCTCTACAGAAAACCGTACAGAACTAACAATAAAATTGTCTTCAGCTGTTCCATAAGGATGAGAAATCTACTAAGGGAGTGTGTTTTATCTATGGTTGAACGTAAGCAAGGCAACAATAGATGTTGCCATGGTGGAAGGAAAATACATGTTGTCTTGACGTAAGTCATAATTCCCAAAAATGTTGCAATTGAAATTGAATAATCTATGGATGTTCGTTCCAACCAATGCTATAAGTTATTTTGTGTCTGAGTACTTATAATCCCAACAAAGTATAAATTCAATTGATATGAACAACTTATATATTCATTCAAGAAAATTAGACTATAGATAGATATTTTTGCGTTAGTTCACAGAGAAGGTTAGTTTATTCTTTCCTCTATGATTTTCTATAGATTCTGTAGGTCGCGTGGGATTGGGAGAAAAATGGGCGTGTCCATCGTGACTTCACCGGTTATAATTTTAGCTCAGTGGTGCTTCACCGACTCGACTTCGGCAAATTGGCTACCCTGACTGAGAATCCCAAATACAAAACACGGCCAAGCCAATTCAATTCCCATTCCCAATCCCAATTATTTTCAACTAGTTGTCAAAGTGTTTTGTGTTATTATGTTAGACATAGTAGTAATATTTTAAAGATAAGTTTATTTTGTGTCACCAAAATGTTTTTAAATAAGTATACGTCATTAATCAATGTATTCTTTGTGATAATTATTTCATTTTTCATGTGTAAGTATTGCTTTTCAACCTTGAAAGATTTATTAAATTGTTAGGTTATATAATTCCAAACAAACCTGTTGCTTATACCAATTAGGCCTATGCCTATTTTTGGAAAATGTCTTCTCAAAACATTTATTGTACCACTAGGTTAACGTCAATTAATACTATGCTAAATATACACACATACATATTTAAATATAGGCCTAATCAAAAAATATAAGTTATATATAAAGTTATAGCCATTGCAAACCATGCTGCATTTTGGGGTACAGTTTCTTAACTGGGCTATGCTATATCGATTGAAACTATCGCTTCGATTAGTAAACCTTCATGCGATTTTTTCACCATCAGCAAGTTTGGTTGGTTAGGTTAGGTTATGATTCTTGAACTATCATAACTATTATGACAAATTTTGAAAGTAACCCACAGTAATGCCTAAAAAAAAATCCTACATATTTGATTCAAATGTTAAAGTTGTGGCAAATTAATTTCCCTACGTCAAATATAATAATTTGTTATAGGCCTAAGCTCCAAAAAATACAAAAAGTTATAAAATGTTTTCCTAAACAATTTATTTTTCCTAAAAAAAAACCCATATTTTTTTGGCCAAATAGAAAATATAAACATTTTATCAGAAATAAATAGCCTAAGTTAAATATTATAATTTCTGAAAGGAAATAAAAAGTTCTTTCAGGAAACTTTTATACCTTTTGGTTATAAAACCACTGAGTTATTGACGTCAGAAAGTGAAACTTAAAATTATTTCTTCCTAAAACATAATTTTTTGGGCATTTTCAAAAAAGCGTAACATTTTTTTTTGTAACTACTTAGCCTATATACAATTTCCAAGATATACATATTGGGTATGGAATTTACTGCAGTTTCCAAAAATGTTTATACAAAAAGGACAATGAAAAATTGTTTACACGCAAATATGTAAATGCGTAGTAATATTCATCAGGAGCATATGTTAAGGAATAATTTCACTATTTTGTAACAAATTGTAAAAGAAACCCTTTTATCACAAAAAAGTGTAATATTTGTGTAATCTTTACAGTACCTAGTTACACAAATATACACATAGCCTATTATAACACAATACTATCACACAAACAATATTTACCGATATTATAAAAGACACAACGCTTGAAAGGACGCTTCCATAATGCCGATTCTCCTTTGTCGTCGTCTGGCTAACGATAAATCAGGACTGACTTCTACCAAACAAAAATACTCGCCGTACAGACCTGCAACTGTTGTCAATTTGACTACCAACTAAAGGGCTTTCTGCAGATATAAATATTACTCGGAAATTATTATTTGGCGTTATAATAGCGTTATAATAGTTATAATAGCGTTATAATAGTTATAATAGCGTTATAATAGTTATAATAGCATTTTCCATTTGTTACAAAAGGGACAAATGCCACCACCCCCCCCCCTCCACCACTTCCTCGCAAATTGACAAAAACATAAGATTTGTTTGAATATTTTTTGACCTGATCTAAACGAGATAGACAACAACCTATAACAGACGAGTTGTAGTTCACAAAATTTCTGTTGCTATGATACCACTCCTGTTTTCGTCCGAGAATTCTATTATTTTTTATCAGCCAATGAAAACAGCTGTTTTTTTGCCGATTGCACAATTTTCGTCTCCCGCCAGAATACAATAATTTGATATCACTAGTTTTTTAGAATACTGTTTTTGGCTAAATGATAATCACCAGGTAATGTTTTATATATGAAGATTAATGCTGAGAACCTCTTTCCAACGGTATTGCAATTTAAGAAAGTTTACTGGTCGCAAAATTAAGTTGAAACACACCACGCCCTATTTGTCCCTTTTGGGACGATGCCAGCTCACACTTCAATTTCTAACGCCCCAAAAGGGACAAATGCCAGATCTAGGGTTAATTGAAAATCCAATCGGGCAAATGGAAATTCGCTTATTCTGCAGGTTTGCTGCGGCGGGGGTACTTATATTTTCAACAAATCCAATAGCCTACATCTTTTTAGCTCATGTTTCCATTAATTTTAATTTTAGTAGGCCTATAACAAGCTGTTTCAAATAGTATATTATTAGTATTATTTTTATAAATTTCAAAGTATTCATCTGTTCAAATGTAAACAAACATTTTCTCCCTAAGAATAACAAGGGAACTTTGAAGGCCACTTGGGCAGAGACCTGATGGAATTTAGAAAATGTTTTGTTTGATGGCACGATGTTCTGTGTTTTTCAATACCAGAGCCAGCAGCTCTCTAACATACATGTACTAGAAGTCCGTCTCGCCCAAATCTACCTTTAAGTTCCTCTAGAGCCTTATTATAATTATCTGGGGTTGGTGGAAAACTCTTTACTACTTCATATGCTCTAGACCTAGGAATCATACTTTATAGGCTAACAAGTATTGGAACTTTTCTGCAGAACTTAAGGTCAGTTCCTTATCTATTGTTTGAAAAAAGACGTTTTTAATTATTGTACAAGTAACTAAACTTAGGCCAAGTGTTGTACAGTAGATGCGTAGTTCTAGAGGTGTACTTAGTTGTAAATATCCTAGTGTGGGAAACCACTGTCGTCTAAGAACTGACGAACATGGGAGGTGTTCACAATTTCAACGCTATCAAGGGACATGTACAAATGGTGTCGCTTGCTTGCGAAAGACGATGGCGTCTAGACCGGACCGGGGAAGATGTCAACGATTCCACTGCAATCATCACTGCAATGTGTTTTGATTTAGGAGGTTTTAATATTAACTTACTTAGTCTAGTAATGGGTAATGACATTAGGTACCTATTACTTAAAAGTGCTTAACATGGTAAAATTGTATGGTTAACTACCTAAATCTGTGTTTCATATTTTTTAGATGATGTCAGTGCTGAGTGCAACATTCCAATTGTTTTAAGAGGATCATGGTTTTCATGGGAAAATATACAAACAGAAACTGAGCTAAATGCAAATGAGATGCACCGGAATTCTGACCATGGATATGTTTGTGAAGACATCAAAGAAGATTTCCATGTGAATTACACAATCGTGTTTCACCACCCAGCTGATGGGTGTTACCACTGTGTTAAATTTGTGGTTCGAACCGTCAATGTCTTGGAGAGAATCGAAAGTAAGTTTCTTTAATGGTTACTTTTTTTTATAAGGGTCAGTTGTAACATTATTTTCACACTGAAAGCTGTCATAAAACCAGACTACCTAACTTATGACATCCAAAGAGTCGAACTAGCTATAACTAAGAGCTCTTGCGCATCTTAGCCATCAATACTTTTATTAAACCCCCCCACTTCACCTTGTTTTAATTTTTGCAGGTAAAATATTAATCGTAGACAAAAGCACAATGAACCTGATTGCTATTAACTTACTTGACTGTACCTATGTTGGAAATGAGCAAGAGACTCCTACAGTATCTTTGGTTTTAATGATACTGTAGGATAATGATAATGATAATGTATGCTGGCCTTTCCTTCTGTCAAAGTCATTTTCCTATTCCTTCAGGAGACCAAGGATGCTATACTCATACTGACTGAATGCAGTTAGTAGCCTACCTAACGTTTTTCAAAATTTGGGAGGCAGTGATCATAGTAATGTAATAATCATCATAGCAAGTGTAATCACCCAAAGTAACATTTTTTGCTGTAGTAGAACTTGATGCACAGCTGCCCCACAGGACCAAGCCATAAGTTAGGGCCTATATGACTGTGAAAGGATGCATTGCACGACGTCCAAGTGCCACGACGTCCAATAATATTTATTCAGTGCCACGACGTCCAAAACATCATTTTTGAGTTGTTGCACGACGTCCAAGTGCCACGACGTCCAAAAGTACAGTAACTGCCAAAAATATAGTCTTTCTACAAGCTTTGGACGTCGTGGCACTTGGACGTCGTGAAACAGCGCACTATAGGATTGTAAAAAAGTAACATGTGCACGACATCCAAAGTCTCTGCCAGTTGCATGACGTCCAAGTGCCACGACGTCCAATAAATATTTGACTGTTGCACGACGTCCAATATAGCTCAGCGCTGTTGCACGACGTCCAAGCTCCTTCATGATGACCGATTACGATGACCGGCTACTTGCCGAACAGTGTTCTCTCGTGTAAAATGCTTATGGAACGTTTATTAGTTATATATACATGGGTGTATGTTCTTGTTCAGAAATATATATACTATGAATATTTGAACCATAAATTGAAACATCATAAAATAAAAATAAACATTAAAAGAAAAAATAAACAAGGCTATAGTTGGAAAACTATAAGGTTTACATGGTTTGAAAAATGATGACTTTTTTTAACAACCTATTATGTTTGGAGTGGGCTTTTAAATACTTATTTTTTCAAGATTAGATGAATACACACATTGATCAACATGATCTTTGAAAACTATTTTTTATACCCTCATTTTAATTTGTAGTAGTATAAAGAATAGAATGCCTTTTTCGAACTGTTTTTTAGGCTTCAATTAAATGTTCTTATGTCGCAAATATGTTTATTAATAGTATTCACTTAACATTGACTTAATTTTATTTCAATAAATTTTGTGTTTGTGTTTTGCTACACCACTTATTAAACTGCAACCAATGAGAATATCATATAAATAAGTTGTACACAGGTTTATTTTGTTTCCCCAACTCTAAAATACAACGCACACGAATTGAAAATGTTATAGGTTTAATAGTACTGTAGCGAATCGAATATCAATAAAGTTAACGTATAACAATAAATTTACATATTCCTAGATTATAATCGAATGTGCTTACGAAGGAACACCACAACCTCAAAATTCAACATACAGTATATTTACTCAAGATTTATTGTTTTCATATAGCACAGTTGATGTTGCCGACTAGCGTGGGAGCGGAAGTCCTGATAAAGGCTGGTTCTCGGAAAAGTAATAAACTTGTAGTTTGAATGAAACATTTTTTTAATTTTGTACAGGATTCATGGGATCCTCATTATCAAGTACAAACTGCAAAATGTGTGTCGAAGGTCTGATTAGACCTTCAGCGACTGATCCGTTTTTACCTTCCTTTAATTTATTCTTTTTCATGTTGTGCTTCATGTAACATACAAAGACTAGAGGGCCGCTCATGCCCTTGACAAATAAATTAACATTTTCGCACAAATACAAATCAATATCGTCATTAGACAAGAATTAAAAAATAAAATTTATAAACAAAACCTACCACGGCATATTCTTGAACAAGTGTGCCTACAAACCTACGATAAGCATGTTTGTTATTATAATACTTAACCTACAAATGCTATGACTTAGGGCATACCTGCTTTCCTAGATAAAACATGCGAACGAATTGCGAGTGCGACGTGAACTTAGAAAAATACTATATCAGATATAGTACAACAAATCCTTAGTACCAGTTGCGAATAATTTGACTTGAGCTGGCTTGAGTCCATGATTAACTCTGACTCAAAAAATCACTAATTTTCTGAGCCAGGTGATGGCCAAGTTATCCAGACTTCCGGGTTATCGAGACCCGAGTTTGCGGGACTCTACTGTAATAAGTTAGTTCTCAATGGAAATAAATAAATTCATTTAATCATTCATTTAATTTGCAACCAAAAGGTGAGTGAGCGTAGCGAACGAACTTCAACCTGGAAGCGAGTTAGCGCAGCGAACCAGCTAACCTGAAGGCAAGTGAGTGGAGCGAACGAGCTCCAACCTAAAGGTGAGTGAGCGTAGCGAACGTACTTCAACCAGGACGTGATTGAGACATGCGAACGAGCTCACTTGTGAAGTTAAACGGGGCAAAGCCCGCGGGTACAGCTAGTAGATCATAAACATAAACAATGAAATAACTAAGTAATAAGTAACAATCATATACTAATGAAATTACATTAACATATGGTTTGACAGCTACATTTAAGTAATGTAAAATAATGTTTACATTCGGGCTAGTAACATCATTATTTTAAATTTATAATCCTTACCCTCTCTGTTCTAATATTCGTGCATTTTTAATACTAGGTGAAACCCGTCGAAATCAACGGTTACTTTCAAGGCTTACGTTAATTCATCTAACTGCGATTAATTGGGTTAAATACACATATTTTGAGCATTTAGCATTGTTTAAAGAGTAATAAGTGTAAAAAAAAACCAATAATGATATTAACTGCATTAGTTGCCAAATATAGTTGATCATTCAATGAATAAAATATTTCCCATACCGTACGCCATCGGAGTTATTATTAGTATGTTATATGGTAGAATATCTCTTCCTTTGGAAGAACCTTTAAATAGTATTAAAATCGTATTGGTGGATCTTTTGTAGTTAAACACTTCCGTGATTTCATCAATGTAATATGATTTTATTTGAAAAGAAAATATTTTTTGGGAAGACATATTCTAACTTCATAATGGAGGTATATCCGTTACAGTGTAAGTTTGATTTTTCCTTCGCGTCGCGTCAGTTCATATCGTACTTCTGTGCCAATGAATGAACCCTCTAGCACAGTTTTGAGAAATTGATTTTGGGGTTACTTTTTAAGCTGGAATTCCTTGACATGGGGGTTGTCAGTTAGTTGTCTCAGCCTTATCAATAACATAAAGTTGTCAATATAATCTCTCTATGGAATGTTAGGTGTAGTGGAATACTTGAAGTGAAGTTGACTTTTATTCTTGAACTGTTAGGGGCCACCTAGTTCATATAGTCTTGCGGCTTCATTGGCAACAAATAATGCAAATGACATAGCAATGGGACATTTCCAAAAAGCAAAAATACCGTAGATTGGCAGTTACGTATATATTGACGTTTACATATTGTTAATCAACGTATCTTATAAAGGATTTTGTAATCTAGTTTAAAAGGAATATGACCTTTCTGTCATGACAGTAGCTGCTTTAATAGTATTTTCTCTTTGTACCATATTTTACAGCCAAAATGTCGTGTTATTTTTCAATGATGTTACCTACTCAGTGCGCCAAAGTCCGTAATATAGGCAGGCGCAAATAATTTGTCAAGATGGGTACAATTTTAGGCAAGGTTTCTATGTTTGGATATTATTAGACACGATAAGAGCAGATATTTCTACATAAATATTTGATATGTGTAGAATAATATGATCAAATGTAGGCAAAAGTGGACTATTCATACAACAACTTCTGTATCCAATAGTCAATGGTAGAATTCAGTAACTCCCAATAAATGTGTGTTGTTTGAAATACAATTTAAAAATGAACAGCTGTTTCGTTAAAAAGTATTATTCACATGGCCAAAGTGTAAACAACTCTGTGGAGGGATCTTTAAAGGTTTCTGGGGCAGAGTCCTAAGGGATTTTGCTTAGTTTTTCTTTTAATAACTCATCTACAGACCAAGACACCCCTACCAAGTTTCTACGCCGAGCCGTTCTCTCAAATTTAGTGGGGACAAAGTTTCCAATTAAATAATTAGATTCTCCCATGTTAATCTTATGGGAGAAACTCTAACTTTGATAGCCTGTGGGGCAAAGCCCGAGGATTTTCATTACAGAAATTAGTGAAAGGGGGCGTCTACACAAAAAATTCTTTATTTTGACACGTCGTTTGTAAAAATCCGTCCATTATTAACGGAGGAGTAGTGTTTCGTAGAAATTGCCTTCACGTATTATACGTATATAAGGATGTTTGAACCAGCTGTGTGGAATTGTGAAATCAAAATTCATTTGACAGTTAGTTCTGGTTGTTTACATTTTTAAATTATGTAGGTTTGCTCTTGTTACCATGGATACCATGGATTATGTAAAATACCATGAATTGTATTCTTTAGTTGGGAAATAAACATCATTTCATTTCATTTTTTTTTTTCATTTCACCATCAATCATTATTTTAAAATCTCTAACCTCAAATTTTTGAAAGCCCACGGGACAGAGCCCTAGGACAATAACGAAGAGGGAATAGTTGTACTAGGGTTGCTTTCAGAGAGGTGAAAGCCAGTTGAGCGGAACAAACGTGATTTGATATTTGTATAAGTAACTAAATGTAAAAAAGTCAATAGATATACTAATGCTTGTTTTATTGATAAAAATTACAATAATTCAAATTTTTTTAACTACATCTTGTTATTCAGATACCTCTTCCAGAAGTGCATTATGGTAGTTTTGACCAGAAAAA